TCAAAGCCATTATGATTACATGATGTGCGGGTTTGAAACATTTTGGGTGGTGGTGAAAGCAGTCGTGCGGAATCATCGAACAACATTATTCTAAGACAATATTATGTGTTTGCCCTTTGTTCGGATTGGGATCTTCTTCTCTCTCTGTTTTTTTTTTTTCTCTGAGTGTGAATGGTGCCTGTGGCGATCGCCATGGCCTTCATTCTTCGTCTGTTTTGGAGATGCAGAACCAAGGCCATACATCGTTTTCATTGTTTAACAATATTTAGATCTCTTTCACAGATTTCTCCGCCGCCATGCCTATAAGCTGAATCTGAAAAGGGTGCAAGGCTGGGGGAATCTTTCTCGATTGTCGCTCTTTTGTTATGATATACTAGTAATGCCGATCATCAATACTTTAATTCATGCTTGGCTGTGATGGCACCAGGAGGCACAATAAACCTTTCTTATACCCACGGCTATCATTCTATTGAAAGTCAGCTGCTAACTAAATACTCCTTCAGTCTTTAATATAGGACCTAATTGTTGAGTTGGTTTTGGTCCTAAATATAAGACCCATTATTATATTTATTAATTTTCTCTAAATTATCCCTATGGATACTCCTTCAACCATAATCAAGTAAAAAAGGGAGAATGGGTATTAAGAAAGATAATTATAGTGTTTTAGGAAAATTGTGTCAAATTTTTTATAATCAACTAACTTACCTAACTTCCTTAATCTAATCAAATTAGTTAAATGGGTCTTGTATCAAGGATTAAAGGAATATAAATACTCCTCCGGTCCTAATTATAAGACCCAATTGACTTATTTGAGGAAATTAAGGAAGTAAGTTAAGTTGGTTATTTATAATAAATAAGTGTTGTCATTCCTAAAATATCCTTACTAATTAAGTATATTGGCTAAAACTATCATTATTAGAAGGATTATCTTGGAAAAAAATGCATAAATATAAGAGACAAAATGGATTGGGTCTTATAATTAGAACCAAATAAAAAGTCAAATTGGGTCTTATAATAAGGACCGGAGGAGTATTTCTTTCAGTCAGTATTGAAATCTTGTCTTGACGCGTTATGGGATTCACCCATTCGGCTAGTCATTGGAATTATTAACAAGAAATTCACTTTAAAAAAAAGGAGTAATACTTTCGGTCTGTGTTGGTTGTCTTCATAGACCTAATGAATAAGTAAAGCAGGAAAGAAACAACTAGGAACCTCATAATTGTACCCAAAAAAACCCCGAGGAACCTCATAAAAATTAACATCAAATGAAGAGTGCCGAACGGGGTTAGCCCAACAATGTACTTCCCCTGAACAGTGCCGAACGCCTCTGGGTTTTTTGAGCCCAATGTGATAGTTAGTGGCCCAATATAGGCTGGGCTTTCAAACCTCCGGTGATCCGTTGAAACCCTAACCTCATATTTGATCTCGCGGGGCCGATGTGCCCCCCCGTATCGACTATAAATTCCACCCCCGAACCCTAATCAGCCATCTTGCATCCCCAGCTCCCAGTTTTATGGCTGTATCGCGTCTGGAGCGGCCGAGTCGTAGCTGTGGCGGTGTGCTACACGTTGAGGAGTCTTCTCTCCCCATTTATTTGTTTGTTATATTCAGTCATTCGCGGTAGTCGTTTAGCGAGTTAGGTTTTCTGATGAACAAAAGAATGAATCCCCATGAGGAAGATCACCCAAATTGATAGGAAGTGCCGTATGACACTCCAAACAGCAGCGATTGCATCCCGATTCCCAATTTTCTCATCCGCCGATTTCATTCCCCATCCTGACTCCTTCCCCTCCGGGAACGGCGTCTTTTTGGGGTTTTTGAACGGCCGGGATCATTGTGACTTCGGTGACTCGCTGTGTGTGTGATTTGAAGCGGGACTCTGAGGGTTTTCTCGGTTAATTTTTTAGACATTTGATTTTATCTAAGTTAGGTCCAATGCCACGTCTCCGATAGCCATCTGAGCTGTGACCGGCGATGCTATGATTGGACCAAGAACAAGATTTTCGTTTCGCATGTTGATAGGAACCTGTGGATCCCCTTTTCAATGGATCCATGGAGCCGGTTTCTGCGATTACATATATTCCTTCGGGTTCTTTTTAATTTAATGGTCATTTTGGATATGAATGTCTTGAAGCCGATGAGGACCAAGTCAAATTTGGAATTACCGTCTGAACAATTTACCCTGATGTGAAATTTCTGGCTGACTGAGGCTTCGCACTGCAATCGTATTTTTCTGCTGGTCAAACATGTATTTTGATGGCGTCTCTCTCTCTCTCTCTATCTCGTATCATTTGCTGTCATCTTGGTTCGCTCCTCACCCCTATAATTATCATTTCTTCTTTTTCGAACATCGACGTTCCAATGTTTGCAATAGACTCTCCTTCCTGGCTCAGGGATCATCATACTCGGGGCATCTCATCTGCCTCTTCGGCCTTGCGTGGGTTCGGGAGCAGGCAGCAACTAAAATCTCAAAATCCAAAGAACAAAAAGCGATTGCAGAGGATTTATATGGTATCTATTTTTATGACCTTGAAAATAAAAAAAATAAAAAAACGCAGAACAAAACGGTACATACATAGAGTAATATACTAAAAACCTATCAATTAATTCACAAGTACCTATAAAACTGAAGTAATAAATGTGCCATAAATTTTAATATCATTTTAATTTGTATCCTCTTGTTATCCTCATTAAATGGACATGTACAGAAAAATATTTAATTTAATATATGCCATGATTTTATAAAAAGGACTAAATTTGTTCTTTAGAAGGACTTCTATCAAAAGGACTATAGGGAGTACATAACTACAGTGTAGATAATAAGCTGATTAATAGTTCTAATACTGGTCAGAATTTTTTTCTTTTAAAAAGAAGAAAAGTGAAATTGTGATGATAGGAGAACAATCGAAATATTTGTAATATAAAGTAACGAAATAGATTTTTCGCCCACTCAGGCATGTTAATTGGTATTGTTAATAGCTTATCATAAATCGATTATTATGAGACTTGTTAAACTAAAGAACATTCTTACGTTGTCGCATAATGCTATTCATCACTTTTATGATGAAAAATGTTAATTTCCCAATCGTTGCATCCATTTCTTTGAGATGGCAAAAGGTTAAAAGACACTTGGGGAATCAGTTTTGGTACTTATCACTTTGATAAACATAATAAATTTATCAGATATGTATATGGTTCATATTTTATTTAGATAGTCTGGATCTTCAAAATAATTATTTTAATATATATAGATCTAAAATAAGAACAATATCTTAATTATCATTCTTTCAAAAAATAATTTTTTTATTTAAAAATAATTAATTAAAAATTTTAAATATGAATTATTTAAATCAGATATAAACAGTTCAGACGTGATAAACTGCTAATTAAATCAAATAATCAAACCATGTTCATTTTCATAGCAATAGATCTGGGAAATGATTATTTAATATTCCAAAAGACACAGGGCGGTCGCGTCCGCAGAAGCGGAACACTTGACTCACTATTCTTCGGTATTTCAACTCTGTCGAAACTCGAACGTGCCTGCCAGTCTTTTCCTTCCCTTTCTATCTCGAGGCCTCATTTGACTGGTGAAATGAAACACGGGGGAACAAAATAGAAAGAAATTGAATGAAAAGAAAATGAGGGGTTAAACTGCAAAAAGTTAGATAAAAAAGATTAATAATACGAAGTAGTTATTATTAAGTACTCATTCGATTCTTAATATATGACCTAATTATTGAGTTGATTTTGATCTTAAATATAATACCCATTTTTCTTATTTATTAATTTTCTCTAAATTATCCCTATAAATACTTCCTTACCCATAATCAAGTAGAAGAAGGAGAGCAAGACCTAACTTACCTAATTTTCTTAATTTAATCAAATTAGTTAAATGAGTCTTATATTAAGTAATGATTATAACAGCATAATGAACATTTCACGTTTCAATTGTTGTATGCTGGGAAGGAATTCCGCTGAGTTGTATCTAAACGGGTTGTTAATCTTTCCCTTGATGCTGTACTCAGCGCACATCAGTAGCTAGGAAAAATGAAATTTACTAAAGTTATGGATTTGGACAAGCAAAAAAGATAAAAAAGATTATATAATAATATTTCAATTATTTGAATTTGATTAAGTAATGACATAAAATGATTAAAAAAACTGAAGATATTACCAACAATTGACAAATAAAATAAACAAATTTATAACATGTTATATTATCTATAAAATATCATTACTATGATTTTTTAAAAATTCACATAATATAATTTTGAAATTAAAAAAACGTTACTGTAAATAAATGAGATTGGTTGTTGGCAAAAAAGAAAAAAAGACGATTGTTTTTGGGTTTTGGAGTAGAGCTGCAAGCAAATACTACCTCCGGTCCTTAATATAAGACTCCGTTTGACTTTTTGTTTGGTCCTAATTATAAGACCCCAATCCATTTTGTCTTTCAAATTTATGCATTTTTTTCCAAGATAGTCCTTCTAATAATGATAGTTCTAGCCAATACACTTAATTAGCAAGGATATTTTAGGAATGAAAATACTTATTTATTACAAATAACTAACTTAACTTACTTCCTTAATCTCCTCAAATAAGTCAACTGGGTCTTATAATTAGGACTGGAGGTAGTATTAGGTAAAATGACTTTGGTTTCGAACATATGCTGCGGAAGCCCAATAGTGTTGGATCTCTATATAAGTTTTATTGCCCTCGTTGGCCCAAAAAAGAAAACAGAGAGAGGTTTTATTGCGCGCTCCTGGAACCTCCTAAACTGTTCAGCGTCCTATTATATCTCTATTCTGCAGATTTTTTTTGGACCTGACCTTTCCAGGTTCAGGCTTCTCTACTTTAATTGTTTTGGGTACGGATATGATAATAGATGAAACTCGAGACGTTGGCCCAAAAAAGGGGTGTGACTACTGACTACAGACAAAGGCCCGATGACGAGGCCCAAATATATAGTGGTTGTCGCTCTCGCGGGACTCGTCGACCCGGTGCCGCCAAACTCGTTATTCGGCCTGGAGATTGTAGTTGGAGCTGCGTAACCGGTGTACTAACTTGCTGTAGAGTACGGCTATTTTCGAGATCCGATATTGTCTTCTTCACTGGCAAACGTACTCGCAGTGCAGCAGTTCTAGCTCGGTTTTCCCTTTTGATTTCTAGGGTTCTTTTTTTCTTGAAGTTCTTGCCATGTCTTCCCCTGCGCATTTCGATGATGTAAGTTCTTGATTTTTCTAGCCATTACTCTTTCTTGACCTTATTCGCTGTAGAACCTAAATTGTGTTTTTGCCAACACTAGGAATTTGATTTTGAAGGCGGATTATCTGGAAGGCATTCGGGTTAACTTTCTTTCTCTATCAATTGCTACTGTATTGCATGTTATTGAATAGCCTGAGTTTATCACTGTTCGGAAATATAGGTAATAAGAGGTCTTCGCCAGACTATGACGATGAAGATTATGACGGTGATCCTTTTTCATCGAAGAAGGTATTCCTTGGTCCTTCCTCCTCTATCCGAGTTTACTAATTTATGTAGTGTTGAATCTGTAATGCATTGCTTGGAGGTTGCTACTGTGTGTGTGTGTGTTTTTTTTAATTCGAATTTGAGCCATTTTTATTTCACATTTAGGCATGTGTAGTGGTGATATCGGTTCAATTTGGGAGTCATACTTACTCCTTTTTTGCACACACATGTGCGTTCATATGTGATATATATATATATATATATATATATATATGTATATATAACCAACTCGTAGATGCGCTATCTAGATGGTTGGGTTTCTTTATTTGCTTATGTATGGGTGAGGTGCATCGATAACATGTATATGATGAGCACAGCTTTTTATTTTTGTCCAGTTTAAGCTTAAAGGTTTGTTGTTCCCTATGCAGATTAAATCTAAAGCTGAAGAAGCTGCTCCTGGTGTAACAACAGGAATGATTTTGTCCCTTCGTGAGAGGTATTTCACATTATAATTGGTGTGAAATTCATGTTTCACTAACATTTCAGTGGTTAAGTTTATTCTGGGACTTATTTTTTGGCAGTCTTCAGAACTGTAAGGATACGCTTGCAACATGCCAAGTACGTTTTCCTTTTAAGAAGTGAGGCAATATGTTTTTCATTTTCTTGTTTTCTTGATTACCCCCTTTCATTTCCCCGCTTTTGTACGATTTAGTTTTTGTTGTTAAGAGAAGTGAACTTTAGTCATTTGATCTTTTTGTTGGATTTATGATCACTATTTGATACTCAATGTCTGTAGTCTTTGAATGGTAACACTAACCTTCCTTTAATAGGCTTGACTGACTTGCATTGCTGGTTCTCACCTTGGTTGAAGTTTGATGCATCATAATCATTTCTTAGGTTTCATTGTATCTTTTCCTTCTAACTTTTTCCCGACCTTTGTGATGTTTTACAGAATGATCTTGAGGCTGCAAAAGCTGAGATTCAAAAGTGGCGTTCTTCTTTTGAAAATGAACCTTTTATACCTGGTGGGACCACTCCTGGTGAGTTTGTATTGGGTGCTTACTAAATGAGACGTGATTGCATTTCACATGCCCTTCAAAGCTTTGGCATACGGGACAATCTCTTTTTGGTATTTGTTTACTCCTTTTAATTGTGAACCTGAACAATCATTTCATCTTTTTTTCCTGCTTTAGAACCCAAATTGGTGATTAATTATCTTCAAACCTTAAAATCGTCTGAAGAGTCATTTAGAGAGCAGGTTAGGAGTCCAATCTTCCGATTTTTGCTTTGAAGAGATCTTCATTCATTGACATGGTTTCATCGAGACCCCTTACGTTTTGTTATCAGCTTGAGAAAGCAAAGAAAAAGGAAGCTGCATTCATCGTAACATTTGCAAAACGTGAACAAGAGATAGCAGAGTTGAAGGTAAAGTTTAGAAAAGGATTCGATTCTGCATGCTATTGACATTAGTCTTATCTAGATATTAATGCTCTTTTCTGCTTGCATTTGACCTATGTTGATAATTCATGTTCCTAATTTGTTTTTTTTCCTCCTTCTTGTTATACCTATCTAAACTTTGAACTTTTACAGTCTGCTGTCCGGGATCTAAAAGCTCAACTCAAGCCACCATCAATGCAGGTTGTATATGATTTGTACAGACACATTTACGTATATCTATGTCAATTTGTCTGCTGATTAGTCATCTTTGTGAATTGATATGAGGAGTAAATTGTTATTGCTCTTTTCATGGATAATTTCGTGAGTGAAGTTAATCCTCAAACTTTTATTTCTTTTATAGTGGTTTTATTTTGCCTGGTATTTAACTTGCAGGCGAGAAGGTTGTTGCTAGATCCTGCTGTTCATGAAGAGTTCACACGTTTAAAGGTTTGTGATTTTAGTTGATACTACGTTGCCTCAAATTATGTCTGCTATCTCTCTGTCTCTGGAAAGGGGCAGAGGAAGTTTGAAGAGAACAATTTGTTCAAATATTTGATTGTTGATATAGCATAATGGTGCTGAGCACTCCATATAGCTGACCTCACTTAGTGAAATAAGTCTTTTTATTGTTGTTGTTGATGTTGTTGTTGTTTGTCTCTGTCTCTCCTCCCTTGGATGTGGACACGCCTAAAAATGCCTAAAATTTAAATCTCAAAAAACATTTTGTCCTTGAAACATATTTTTCAAGTTCTACTACACAATTATCTCGTTGGCGTGCGGTGTTCTTCTGTTTACATGGTAGCATTTGTTAATCCCTTGCTATTAATGGTAAATTGTCAAGCTTCGTGGGCGTTATTATAAGAATACAATGTTTTGAACTTTTATTACATGTTCAATTGTTTCAAAAGATAAACTGTTTTCACTTCTTACATATTTGAACAATTTTTTGCTTTTGATGACAGAATTTAGTTGAGGAGAAGGACAAAAAGGTGAAGGAATTGCAAGATAACATAGCCGCTGTAAATTTTACTCCCCAGAGCAAGATGGGGAAGATGCTGATGGCTAAATGTAGAACGCTGCAGGAGGAAAATGAGGAAATTGGGAATCAGGCTTCTGAAGGAAAGGTGATGCTTCTTCTTGTCTCTATGTTTTTTTTTTGGCCAATTATATTTGAATCTTGGACTTCCTTTTCCTGTTTCTTCCCATTCATTTATGTGTTCATTCGGTTCCAAAGATTTGGCTTTGGATAGGGCTCAATAGCGTCGTGGGATCCATGTAGCCGACTCCACTTAGTGGGATAAGGCTTTGTTATTGTAGTTGTTTTCTTTTCATTCGGTTGTTAGATGTGGTGGGAATAAAATACACCGTAGGTTATTTTCTGAAATGAGATATATCTGAACTGCCTGGGTGCTATCACCAGTGCACGTTCAGCTTATTAGAATGTTGAGCGCATAATATTCTATTCCTAGAAGTAATGTGGCACAGAAGCTATGGGGACGCCATTATGCTATGTTGATTGTCTAATGCATCTTACTGTATTGATAAATTGACTGATATGATATCTTTTTCTCTCTTTGGGTCTCCAGATGCATGAATTAGCTCTGAAACTCGCATTGCAGAAATCCCAGAATGCTGAGCTCAGAAGTCAATTTGAAGGTGGGTTTGAACAAAATCTTGAACGACCATCTCAATGACAACTAATTTGCTGCCTCACTCACCTCATGTTTATGCATTTAATGCTTGAGTGCTTTTATAATCACTTGATTCTTTCCCTGTATAATGCATGGAATAAATATCATAGATATTTTTTTTTACTAAAAAAATATTGATTTGAACAAATTTTGGGTGAAAAATTCGAATAGTAAAAAGTGGGGATAGGATATGGCGATGACAATGGAATAGAGGTACAACATCCATTATGAGATACATTTTTACGGCTTATGAATAGTGTAGTTTGTTATACTTTTATATTTCAAGTTGACCATGTGATTATATTTATTTTGCGACTTGGATGTATATAATCAATTCTATCATTGTGTGCGCATAATCAAGCATTTGATGTTGTCATGCCTAAGAAAAAAGCATTTGATGCAGTACCATACTCGATGACTTTCAGGTTGGAAGTTTTCCTATATATTGTTTTCCCATATGTTGACAGTTTTAAATAACAATGATGCTTTTAACGTGATTACAGGGTTGCAGAAGCATATGGAGGTGCTGACAAACGATGTAGAAAGATCCAATGAAATGGTGCTCACTGATCCTATTCCTCTCCATCAAGCTTTATGTTATTCTTACGAATTAGGTCTAGGCATAGTTTCTTATATTTTTAACATAAAGTATTCTAATAAAATTATGACTGTGTAAATATTATTTTAAATCTAATTATACGGTGTTGGGTTGAAAAATTATGAACTCACCTATACAAATTATATATATCATATTACTCTACTATTAAAAAGATTCTATGTCTAATATCTTAATTGTGAAACTTGATAGTAAAATACGAGGAAACACTGTTATATTCTATGCCTATACTGGTAATAGTGTTCTTGTTCTTTGAAAATACAGCGGGATGGGAAAGATTTATCTCGACTCTTGATCCAGGAAAAAAAAATTGGAATGGTTCTCAAAGGTCTTTTTATAATATTTATATTACATTACTCTCCTGAGGGAGCATTTGGGAGTGGCTTAATTACTCTCATTGTAATATGGGTTAAATAAAGTATTGCTAAATCTAGTCATATTTTTGGAAAATTATTGTGAATATATCCTTTACTTTTTAAAATTTTTTTTATTAAATTAAAATATCATTTTTCAAAATTGATGGTATGTTTTTTGGCTCAAATAACTTAATTATATTTCTATAAGGAAACGCGGTTACATTATTGGAGTTATGTAAGTGAGGAGGGGAACTCACCCGAATAATCTATGTTCTGGGGTTTTGGTTTGCTGATGAATGCGTTGAAATGCAGGTGCATATGTTGCAAGATAAAATGGAGGAGAAGGATGCGGAAATTCGGAGGATGGAACAAGAGCTACAAGAGAAGAGCTTAACGGTAGAAGAGGATCATAGAAGAGATGCCCCACCTCAAGAGGTGAACGTATCTGGAGAAGCTATTGTCAATTAATCAGCTGTCAAACTTTGAGTACTCTGTAAAAACTTGTATTTTTAAATGAAAACATTCATTTATCTCTAATCATTAACATAACTCGTTATTAACATAATATATACAATTTACTACTAATAAAAAAAATCTATAATAAGTTGTGATCTTTACACGTGAATAATATGATTTCTTTAAGGCCTCATCTTGTGGGGAAAAATATATATAATTATGATTATAAACAAGTCGATTAATGGTCCACATGGGTGCATAATATGAGATTTTGGAAACTGACGATGGATTGAAGGCCTCAAAGATTGGAATTTTTTTTTTTTTTGGGTGCGGTGATTTTCAAAGTTTGCATGCTCTAGCTTCTTGTGAAATCTCTTGCAAATTATCGTGGGTATTGATGATTACTATATGATATAGGGTCTATTTAGATAGTTCATAAATAGTTTTTTAATTAGTGAAAAGAATTTTATCTCAATTTATTTTTAAACGTTTTTACAAACAGATCCATGATTTGGTTAGTAGGGAATGGGCTTACTTGGGTGCGATGCCCTGCACCGGGGGTGTATGCAGAGAGTGACACAAGTGGAAGTGGGAGGAAGTCACACGTAGGGTGGGGCCGATGTTTCCAGAGTCCTTTTTTTTTTTTTTTGACCAGCGATGTTTCCAGAGTCCTTTGGAACTTGGACTCCTCTCTCTCTTCCCTCTGACATAATTAATGGCCACCGCACCCTATTCGGACTTGGTCGTGTTGGGTTTATCCTCCCCCACGCCACGCACACCTGATACCACCGCGTTTAACGTCATTATAATTCACTTCATATATTTATTATACATGTGACTCAAACAAACATTTATTATTATCCATGCTCGTACACCTTTGCTTCTCTGGCTCTCTCACCTTTTCCCCCTTTAATTTGCTCATTATTTTACTATTCTCCCTCTCTTATTCGACAACAAGTTTGGAAAAAAAATAGTAATATAGTAAACCAAAAAAAAAAGTAATATTTTTGTTCCGAAATTATCTGAGCAAATTAAATATGTTGCGGGAATTATATATAAACGTTTTATTTGCCATTTATCATGAGCATGGTATTTTTGTAAACCCCAATTAAAGTACACGTAACTACTCATTCGGGAATTTTATTTTTTCATCTACAAAATATTCGGCCCGGAGTTTGAACCATTCAATTACTGGATCGCTTTTGATATTCATAAATTAATTAACGAATCCATCCCCTAGCACGTGATGAATAAATATTTGATCCTATAATATAAGATATTCATGTCTTTCTAATCAGCGATCAGGCTGATCTCCGTTTTCTTTCCTCTAAAGACAGACAGACAAACAAACACAAGTGTTATAAAAAAAATAATTGAAATTATTTATAATTCTAAACTACGATTCATTTTTTATCATACAAATATACCTTCATAAAATAATTGATGCCAGACATTAATACGAATAATTCATAATTAATTCAGGTTATTACCGGCTAATGCGGAATACGTAATTAAGTACAGAATACTGTAGCTCTCTCTCTCTCTCTCTCTCTCTCTCTCTCTGAAGCTAGTAGTTTCTCTAATCGCCTGGCCTACTTATTCATGTAAACTCTCCCTTTACCCATCCTTAAATCCAGAGCTACAGGGAGCTTCCCAAGACTCTCTCCATGGCGCCTATCATCCGCAAGAACGGTGGCCTACAAGAAAAGGGCCTCTTCCATGAAAGTTCATCATCCTCCATAAAGCTCGAAGCATCAACCTTCCTCGCCAATGGCCACCCTATTCTTAACCAAGTCCCGCCAAACATCACAGCAACCCCGGCCAACGACGTTGCCAACGTCGGTTGCTTTGTTGGCTTCGACGCCGACCAGCCCACCCACCGCCACGTGGTTCCCATCGGAAAACTCAGTGGGATCAGGTTCATGAGCATTTTCAAATTCAAGTTATGGTGGAGCACCCATTGGGCCGGAACTAAGGGGAGCGATGTGGAAAACGAAACCCAAATGATGATGCTGGAGAATTGTAATCACTTGGGTCGTCCCTATGTCCTCCTCCTTCCCCTCATCGAAGGGCCCTTCAGAGCTTCTCTGCAACCTGGTCTCGACGATTACGTGGACATTTGCCTGGAGAGTGGCTCCACGCGGGTCTCTGGTTCTACCTTCAGAAGCTGTCTGTACATCCACGCGGGAGATGATCCTTATAACTTAATGAAGGAAGCCATGAAAGTGATAAGAGACCATCTGGGAACATTCAAGCTTCTGGAAGAGAAAAGCCCTCCAGGAATAGTGGAGAAGTTCGGATGGTGCACTTGGGACGCGTTTTATCTGAAGGTGGATCCAAAAGGAGTCCGGGAAGGTGTGAGAGGCCTGGCGGACGGTGGGTGCCCTCCAGGTTTCGTCATAATCGACGACGGCTGGCAAAGCTTCTGCCACGACAACGAAGCCGTCGGCGATAGCGGAAGCTTGGATTGTTCAATACCAGGAGAGCAAATGCTTAATAGGCTTACGAGTTTCGAAGAGAATAGCAAGTTTAAGGAGTACCGTAGCAGGAAGGGTCCTTCGGAGAGAGGGCTGGGGGCCCTTGTGAGAGACCTGAAGGAGGAGTTTAAGAGCTTGGGGGACGTGTATGTTTGGCACGCGTTTTGTGGATATTGGGGTGGGCTTAGGCCCAATGTGCCAGGGCTGCCGGAGGCCCGGGTGGTGGTGCCGAAGCTGTCGGAGGGAGCGGAGAAGCTGATGAGGGATCTGGCGGTGGACAAGATATTGGAAGTCGGGGTAGGATTGGTGCCGCCGGAAGATGCTCACAAATTGTATGACGGACTCCATTCTCACCTGCAGTCTGTGGGTATTGACGGCGTCAAGATTGATGTCACCCAGGTAAGTTTTCTCCAAAATTCCTCCTCCGGTTAGATTTATTATTATTTTTATTTTTATTTATTAATATATGAAAATGCATTACTGTTTAATTTTAGTTGAAAGTCAAATCTATAGTTATAGCTAGTTCTAAACTTACAAGTAATCAATCAACAGTCAATTACGTAACCGGGGCGGAATAGTACTCCCGGGCCAGTTTTGAAGTTTATGATGGAAGTTAATGGCTAATTACGAAATTATTAGATAATTCAAAATAATCGAGTTGTATTCTCCCCCCCCCCTTTATCTCTCGATTTTTGTTAAAATAAATGTTGTTGGCGGTGGAAGATGGATAATTTTATTTCTGACGTACATTTTAAGGAGGCTTTTGGATTGTGCCTGTGGAATGAGTATGCAGAGAGCCAGAGACCAAGGACGCCGTCAGATTGAGGGGGTGAAGAGTGAGCTAAATAAATCATAATTAGCGTGTAAGGGAATTTTTTTCCACAAGGATAACAATATTAAACAATTGAAGATCTAAGGATAAACACTAGGTTTAACAATGCACAGTGACGTGAGATAGAGCGAGAGGGGAGGGTAAAAATATACCCTGCACACAGCGGTCAATCATTCTTTATTATAACTTTAACTTCCAACGAATACCCTGGCAGTATAACTATACTGCAATTCCAAGTAATTTGATTTTGATCCAAAGCTGGTTTCTTGTCACTTGTCATTCTCAAGTGCCTCGTCGAGAGTGATTAAAAATAAAAATTCGGCTACTTCATATCGGGTAGATCATAGATGAAATGGGATTATATATGAGTGTTTTATTTTTCCTTAAATGTAGTAACGAAGCAGAAACCACAAATTAAAGTATTCAAACAGTAACCATCCTTGCAAGGGAATTGAAGAATGATTCAGTAGTTCACTTATGGACATAAGTGAACAAGAATCGAGGAAAAAAAAGTTTAGAAAAACGGAAGCATAATGATTCTTCTGATCCTTGTTGGTCATATGCCAATCTCATCGATGTATCATAGCTCTGCTAATTTAGCTTTGATTGTTGATGATGCGGCAGATTCTGGAGATGCTATCAGAGGAATATGGGGGTCGCGTAGAACTCTCCAAAGCTTATTACAAAGCCCTCTCTGATTCAGTGAAGAAGCACTTCAAAGGCAACGGCGTCATCTCCAGCATGCAGCAATGCAACGACTTCATGTTCCTTGGCACCCAAACCATCTCTCTCGGCCGAGTCGGTACGTCCTTCCCAACGACCTCAACTCGCCATTCCCTATCTCTTTTCAACCCAACATTAAAATCGAGCTACCCCATTGTGTTTGCAGGTGATGATTTTTGGTGCACCGACCCTGCGGGAGATCCAAACGGCACGTTCTGGCTTCAAGGATGTCACATGGTGCACTGTGCCTATAACAGCTTGTGGATGGGAAATTTCATCCACCCTGATTGGGACATGTTCCAGTCCGATCACCCTTGTGCTGAATTCCATGCCGCTTCACGAGCCATCTCCGGCGGTCCTGTTTATGTCAGCGACTCTGTTGGCAGACACAACTTCAAGCTCCTCCACAAGCTCGTCCTCCCTGACGGCTCCATTCTCCGGTGCCAACACTACGCCCTCCCCACTAGAGACTGCTTGTTTCAGGACCCTCTTCATGATGGAAAAACCATGCTCAAAATCTGGAACCTCAACAAAGTAAGCACATTTACATCTCCATGCATTATAACTCTCTCTGTTTTCAGTGTAAATCTTGCATTAATACTTGGTTTTTTGGGTTCTGTGATCACAGTATACTGGGGTTTTGGGGGCGTTTAATTGCCAAGGAGGAGGATGGTGCCGTGTTACTAGGAGGAACAGAAGCGCGAGCGAGTGTTCAAAGAGGGTGAGTTGCTTTGCGAGTCCTGAGGAGGTTGAATGGAGCAAGGGGATGAGTCCGATATGCGTAACAGAGGAGGATGTGTTTGCTGTGTACATGATTAAGGACCACAGCTTGAAGCTGTTGAAGTGGTGGGAAAGTGTGGAGATTTCCCTCGATCCCTTCAATTATGAGCTCTTGACAGTTTCTCCGGTGACGGTGTTGCCGAAGGGGTCAATCCATTTCGCTCCGATTGGGTTGGTGAATATGCTAAACTCGGGCGGGGCAATTCAGAGTATGGAGTTTGGAAAGCAGGGGAATGAGGTGAGAATTGGAGTGAGAGGACAGGGAGAGATGAGGGTGTTTGCTTCAGAGAAGCCTGTGAGCTGTAAAGTTGATGGAGTGGCTGTTGAATTTGGTTATGAGGACAACATGGCACGCGTTCATGTTCCCTGGACTGCTTCTTCAACGTTGTCCACGGTGGAGTACTTGTTCTGAGTCAAAGCTAGCTAGCTTTGGTGGCTTCTTTTCCTCAACGATTTCAAAAATAAGAATTCATTGGCAAATACTGATGACATGCCTTGGTTGGGTAAGCGTCAACGAATTTTAGGAGTTTAGATAGTCAAACGAAAGATTATTAATAAGTTAGATTTCAAACATGATGCCTGTTTTGGGATTTCTTTAGCAAAATTTAGTTATACTTTCCTTCTCGCTATGGTTAAGGTTACTTGGGAATTAGAAGTTGTAGTCGTGAGTTTCCTGACTATAAATTCAATTTATGCTGTGCATCTGGTCAAGTCTTTGGTGAGTTGTGCTTATTCAGGCATCCTAGGCTCGCTTCCATGATAACTATCTTGCTAGAGATTAGTATTTAGGCCTTGATCCTTACCTTCCTTTGTCCTTTATGCGTGCTCATCTCGACCACTTCTACCCTTTCTTTTGTGCTGACTTGTTTGGTTTGTACGGCGTTGAGTTCTGCTCTCCAACGAGTTAACGTTGTATCACGGGTTCATATTAGTAATGTCACCTCATAAAATCTACTAATACCTAATCTGTGATAGTACGTTGACTTTGCGCTAAAATATGGTTTTAAAAGAAGCAACCTTTAAGTTGCGTTTGGCAGAAACACGTACGACTTCAAGTCTTTAACCCATCCAACATAATTGTGAACATGCTCCTCGTTGAATGGGTTTTTGGTCATCACCTTAACAGCATTTATTCATATCTAACTTTTTTTTTTTTTTACTATGCAAGCACCACGCTGCATATATAAAGGAAAAGAAACGTACGAGAAAGTTTCTTAAGATCCTTTTACTAAATGAAAGGAATGCCTCTAAGCACAGTTCTGCACTTTCCAACCATTTTACTTTCGTTACGTATCTAAATTTACAGTGACTGTGAAGTTAGGTGAATGTATGACTTCCATAGATACATTTAATTACGATATAAAATCCTCTAAAATATTCCGAGTTTCAACACATGTTCATTGCAAAATTAAACAAGTATTATCCGGAGGGGTAATAAAATAGAAGCATTGACAAATTTAAACCCACAAATTAAAAATGAAGGCCAGTACATTCATGGTTTTCACAATTACACACTTTATAAATGTCCTTATCTCACCACCGTTTACCGGCGAAGGGAAGACCGACAAAACTTTTGCCTCCAAATTCATGTTCTGATACCTAACCCAAATACAAGAAGTTATAGGCCTTCCTTTTTTTTTTTTTTAATTTTATTTTACAATTAATTATATATTTATTTATTATATTTTTTTTTTTGGGCAACCATCATATACTTGTTAGTTGTTAGGAAGGAAGCGGTTTTTTCAACTTAGATTTATGGTAGATATTTTTTTCGTTTTAACTCGTCACCCATCTGTTTCTCATGATGCCTTTTAATTTCGTAACATAGTTTAATACCATCTCTTGTACTTTCGCTTTTAATTATAAGACCTGATTTGATTTGTAGATTATAAATAAAGTCTTATAATTAGGATTGGAGGTAATATAAAACTTAGTTCTTTGAAGTTTAAGCATAATCATGTAAGAAGGAGCACAGAGGTCCTTCACTTGAGTACAAGTCCCGTCTCTCCAAGACTTTACTCTGTTTCAGTGGCCTGGTTGCTTGGTGCTCTGTTTTCTCCGGTGGTGATGGCGAATCTGAAGACTATATTATCTGGGAAGCACTTGTTGGCGCTGTCGTTGGCTTTGAATGCGAGTTTGGTGCTGAGAATGGGGTATGATCGTGGAAACAAAGAAGGGTCTTGTTTGAAGAAGACAGAGCACGAGGTTGATTCTGACACTGATAAACGTGTTAACTCTAGATCTGCACGTTTGGCCGTACCTTCCTATTCTAGTCGCACCAATCATCCCCAAGACAGGGACAGAGTCATCAATCTTGACTAGTAAGTGCTACCTTCAACCATTCTTGTTTCCATACTTTCAACTCTGTTCTCTGCTTTCTAAGTTAGTGTTATTAATGTCACTTGTTTCAATAGTTCAAGGCCATGAAGGCTGGCAGGGACTTGATTATCGTCTTTATATTTTTTTGTTTCCTTGGGGAAGAAACATTAAATCCGATCACATTAGTTTTTCCGAGATTTACTCCCAAGAGCGTCGGAGTTTCTGAAAACGACACAGATCAATCTTTCCAAGATGTTACTACACTATTTTTTTTTTTCCTTTTGCTTTTGGTTTCTTCATGCATGTCGCGTCTTTGTTCAAATGATTCCTTGATTTACTTTTTAGCAGTCTAAACAAATCACAAGTTTAATGGTTCAACCAATAATATCCTGCGCTAAACCGATGGGCTCGTAGCACCGCACGCTACACTTGTTCTCGCGTTAATCGTCGTCTTCTTCTTCTTATTTTGGTGCAACAGTTTCATCTTCTACTTGTACGGCATCCATTATTTGTCTTTTTCAAGAAAACAAAGATGGCACTTTTAAGGTTTCGATACCGAGGCCGAATATGCTAGTGTCGTGCCATAGTTCGATGACCCTCAGAAATCGTCGTTATGCATGTTAAATTAAGCCCTTTCCTTAAACTACCAAAATTCTGCATACATAAAAGCAGAGTAACAGTCCCCCAAAAAAAAAAATCTTGTTTACACTTTATCTTTGTACAGAACTGTTTGCATGGATGCTCAGACTTAAATCACACAAATTCAATTTTTATCATGTGACGTGCAAATGGAGTATTTGTCACGTAATCTTCACAAGTAACAGACTAACCTAATTTTTACATAAATTTCACATGTGTAGCTATATTTTTCTTCAACGTCGTGCGCGCGCGCGTGTATATATATGTGTGTGTATGGCGATTTTGATCTAGACAACTTTTCTTAAGACTTATGCAATGAAAAAAAATATGCAAATTAAGAAAACAAAGAAAGAAAAGATTTTTTTTTGGGGGGGGGGGGACATGTTCTCCCAACACCAGAAAGAAATCCTCGAGTTTTGAAAGCTATTCAATTGTTTGTTTGTTGTTGTTTTTTCCCCCATTATACAATGCAAAAATGAAAAATAAAGATGCTGAAAAATGTAATATTCTAAATTAGGTATTTAAGAGTTGAAAATGATAGAGAAAAAAGTGATGCGTGTTTTGGTGTTTTGTAAATGAAGTTAAATTACTAAAATGCTATTATATCAAAAAGTTTATTAACAAGTTTTGAACTGATAATGACAAAAAATGTATTGATAATGACAAGTTATTTATTAACAAGTTATGAACTGATAATGACAAGTGTAAAACAATCAATAATAAAAAATATACTAATAATAACAAGTTAGATAGTTTTTTTTAAAAATCTAATACAAAGACATTTTAGTCATATAACTGCATTTGTAAAATATCATGTCACACACCACTTTATGTCATTTTTAACTCTTAAGTGTCTAATTTAAAAAATGTTAATTTTAGAGTTTTTTTCCCTAAAATTTTGCCTTATACAATTACTTCCTCTTAAAAGTCAAAGGTTAGTTCAACGGGAAAAATAAAATTCTCTGGATTAAGACGGTCCGACTCAGAATTCATTTTGTCTTATGATCTAATTTTTATGTCTTTCATGGTCCACACCAAAAGAAATACTTCTCTGGTCTTTAATATAAGACCTATTTAATTAATTTGATTAGATTAAAGAAGTTAGATAAGTTAGTTAATTATAAGAAACGTGACACGTTTTTCCTAAAATACCATAATCATCTTTCTTAATACTCCATATTCCTCTTCTATTTGATTATGGTTGAGAAAGTATCCATAAGAATAATTTAGAAAAAATTAATAAATATAAAAAATGAGTATTATATTAAGTGCTATACAAAGTAGCGGAGGAGTATATTTTTTGAAGTATCTTCTCTGGCGAATTGCACATGGATCGGCAGGATCTGCCACATCGTGGTGTCCAGGGATATTGAGACATTGAACTGATGTGAAGCCACTGCATGAATCAATCTAATCGGTGTTTGCCTGATTCACAGATTCAATCCTCACTTGACATTTTCATTCTTCGTCCCTCACCCAATCCACTGTACTTGTACAGTTCCCACAATACCAGCTAATGTCGACACAAATTCAGCAGACTACACCCGAAGAAATAGAAATCTAATCATGAAAAATGCATGCTTCTTTACATTTGCTTTGCTTTTTTAATTTCTAACATCATGATGAAGATGCTAACACATTAATTATTAATTTGTGAACGAAAAATTACAAGCGCAGCGGAGATCCAAGTATGTATGAAAGATACTGGCGAGAAATGGGGGAGAAGACGACGATCACAATCCCGGGGTGGCAATCGATGAGCTATTTTTCGGGTTGGAGCGACGTGTGCTGGTTTCTGGAGGCAGAGTTTGCGACGGAGGTGGTCAGACTGCACAATGCGGTGGGAAACGCCGTCACACATGGCACCCACATCGTCGTCGGTACTGGCTCCTCTCACCTCATTATGGCCGCTCTTTATGCTCTCTCTCCTCCTCATCCTCCCCATCAACCTATCCCCGTCGTCTCTGCCACACCCTATTACTCGGTCTGTCACTTCTATTCAATCTAATCCAAATGAATTTCATCTCCTTTAACAAGGCTGTTGATAGATTTCTTTCTTTTTGTCCTCCTGGGAAATGAGCTTGCAGTCGTACCCAGCGATGGTTGATTTGCAGAGATCAGGTCTGTACAAATGGGGTGGTAGTGCTGAGAGTTTTGAGGAGGAAGGTCCCTACATAGAGCTAGTTACTTCTCCCAACAACCCCGACGGCTCTGAAAGACGATCCCTGATCAACCGTAGCCATGGCCTGCAGATTCACGACCTTGCTTATTATTGGCCGCAATATACTCCCATATCATCCCCTGCTCATCATCACGTAACCCTCTTCTCTCTTTCGAAATGCACCGGCCATGCCGGTACTCGCATTGGGTACAATTCCTACACTGAACTAGTTATTTATCTATTTCTCTGTGGGTGGTTTACATAGGCATAATGATGCTGTGCAGGTGGGCTCTTGTGAGAGACAGAGAGGTTGCGATGAAGATGAGCAAGTTTATAGAGGTCAGTACAATAGGTGTGTCGAAGGACTCACAGCTGAGGGCTGCTAGGATTCTAAGGGCAGTGTCCGAGAGCTGCCAAGGGCAACGAGGCGAATCATTCTTCGGGTTCAGCCACAATGTGATGGACCGGAGGTGGAAGCAACTCAGAGCAGTGGTTGCTCGCAGCGGCATGTTCAGTTTGCCCCGCTTCTCTCCCTCATTCTGCAACTTCTCGCGCCGAGTGGTGGAGCCTCGACCCGGTAATAAATCAATCAATTTGACTGATCATATAATAAGCTAAGTAGTTTTGTGTTATGTAGAGAATGCCACCAAGGGTACCTGCTTACTAATTTTATGGCTTTGGGTGCAGCTTTTGCTTGGTTGAAGTGTGAGGGAGACGTAGAGGACTGCGAAACATTCCTCAGGGAACACAAGATCAAGGGCCGAAGTGGAAGGCACTTTGGGGCCAGCCCAAAATATGTGAGGCTTAGCATGCTGGACTCCGATGAAAATTTCACGCTGTTTTTAGACCGACTCTGCTCGATACAGTCATGAACAAGGGGAATTACGGTGCTGATGAGCAAGACGCTGCCCCTAAATACTCTCTATTTCTGTTGACCCCTCTATTTATAGAAAAGGGAGCCTTCTCCAAATTATATGCGCTCAGTCTCACTGACTGCTTCCGAGCACGCTCTTCCTGGTCTTCCATCTATAATTCACTTAGATTGGAAATAAATAAACTGACTATTCTCCCTTTTTTTATTCTCATCTTCTTACGAACTGATAATATTTATTTTATAATTGAATAAGTGTTGATTTTGAATCTATTTGGATAAATCTATAAATAATTTACTGGATATACTTTTATCTCTTTGGCAAATTACAGGATAAAAATAGATTTTGTTATAAATTCTATTCATGTCTTATTTTATTTTATTAAATAATTAGGGAATCCAGGAGGGAGGGAAATAATAAAGAAAGTATAATATATATATATATATATATATATATATATAACACGTACAAGGAAAGCTGATGCATATAGCACGGGTTCATGGATTATCATTATATAATACTCTATCTAAATTTAAAATAGGTCTTAAATTTAGATTGGAGTATAATATATATAGACATCACAAACAAATGAAAGATGACATTGGTATGGCATTATTGGCATATGGATCCCTTGTATACTCACCATTATTCGGATGGATGCGAGGCATTTAATGTGATTCTGCGAACCTCTTGAAACAAGAAACTGTGTGTATTCCTCTTTTGATTCATTTTTTTTTTTTAATTAGCCCGATTTGGATTTAATTATATTGTCCTTTTAGCTTTGGGGATCTCACGGGTGGTTGAGAATTACGAATGAAATCGACCTGCGTACAAATAAACCATGAAGCTTGGAAATTTTACTGCAAAAGCAGACTACAGAGCACAATGGCACTACCGATTACTGAAACACACTCCGACACTTCCCGCGGTTTGTACCAAGAATACAAGAAGTCTTCACGGAGAACCAAAGCAGAGGGACCCACCAGAAATGATATCGAGATTCATTTAAGAGAATCTTTTCTCTTCTTGGGCCTTCCCACTTTGGGTCCTCTGTCGTGACTCCTTGCTCTTAGTCTGGGCCTCCTGCCCTGCTTCCTGCGCCTTGCTCAGCACAGTCTCACCGGCCTCCTTCACACTCTGGGCCGCGTGGCCTATCGTCTCCTCAGCGCGATGCTTTGCATATTCAAGCTGCTCCGACAGCCGCGAGCGGCGGAGAAAGTTGGCCAGCCACGTGAACGAGGAGAACGCGGTGACTCCGAAGGCCCCAGACGTCAAGAATCCGGCGACCGCCAAACCAATGAGGAACGCAGCGGGCAGCAGGACTGGGCTGAAAATGACGAACAGCGGGGTTGAGAGCGCGATGCCCACGACAGTTCCGGTTCCGGTGATGGCAGCGACGAAGAGTAGAAAAGCGCCGAGAGGGAGGAGGAAGGAGAGGGCCAAAACCTGAGAAGAGGAAGGAGCCTTCTCCGGGAAGACGGTGCTGGTTTGCGTTGGGTTGTGTTGGTAACGGTAGTAGTAGTCTTGGCGGATTTCGGCCATGGAAGACGCAGATGAGTTGTTTAAGTGTGATACTGATAGGAGCGTGATGAAGAGATGAGGGGGGGGGGAGTGGGAAGAGAGTTATAAGAGAAGAAAGGGAAGAGAGAAGGGAGAGAAGGACACGTGGAGAGGGAGGTGCACACTTGTTAAGGAAAGAGGGAGTGCATGTGCATGAGAGACATGTCGTGGTTTGACGGTGGACGGAGGGAATCAAATTAATGATGAATTATGGTTTGTGCAGAGTAATGCGTGGAGCCTTCTCTGCTTCTGCCACATGATTTAGCTTCGTGTTCATTCAGTTGTATGTGAGTTTGTGACTATCACAGCTACCAAATATCAACTTGCCTTCCATATAATTCCATTGCACGCATTTCCTACAGCTTTTATATGTATTATTGCATTTTTTATTTTAATGATTTAATTCATCATAGAAAGAGGCAAGCCACGTAATTCTTTTAAAGTACACCATCAATTATGGATATCAATTTTAAAAGATTAGATTTATCTGTACATCTTTATATCTTCATCAGCATTTTATTTTAAATTCTAATATCGCAATTTTCTTTTTCTGAATATTCAATTGCGAGTTTCATCAATTCAGTTCGCGGCGAAGGGAGGATGGGCCCAGTTCCATTCTGTCCAGCACAGAATAGCGAAGCAGTTTTGGCCCAAAACTTGGCCCAAAACTATTGGCCCAATCATCCTATGCTCACGAACATGTCTGAGCTGATCCCCAATTCGTGTTAGTTTGCGATCATTATTGTCATGTTTCATTTGCTCACTTGAGTGACGGGGATTCATTAAAGGATGCTTCTCTCTGGTCAAAAAATTAAAAAAAAAAAAAAAATTAAAGGATGCTTCTTGTGCGTATTGGTATTTCACCAACCTCATCAAGGTCGTTTATATCACGCCTGTCTCATCACCAGCGCAATAATTCTGTAACTCCATCTGTTTTGGAACAGTAATCATTTTGTGGTTTTTGGTTTTGTTTCAAATTATTATCATTTTAAATTTTTAGTCCAGAATTAATTCTTATAATGATAAAATATTGACAAAAATTATTTACCTACAAATAAATGGGGCTATTTTAATCTGATAAGACACTAATAACTTTAAATTCTTGGTATAATTTACCCTATTCATCAGTAGCTTTCTTAATCTGTGCGTCTTACTTCAAGGCGACTATTGATCAGGCTCCAAAAATAAAATTTCAACTTTCAAGGCTTGTTTTTCCGAAAATGTTGATTCAGTTTTTAACTTTAGTGTTATTAATGAATTAGTCGCATAGTATGGGGGAAAAAAAAAGACAAACCTTAGTTAAGATTACTCCTCTAGTCTTATTTATAGGGCAGAAAGATAAGATATTTTTTGGTCTTATTTATAAGAAATTGGGAGAAATTTTTTACATAGATGTACAATTTTACGCTTCATTTATTTTTGTATTGACTTTGTTACATGAGGTGTAATGTATATTAAACATAGATAAAATTAAAAAGTTAAATTTTAAATGAGAGTTAATAAATTTTAAGATTTTTTTTTGTTTTATATGAAACATGTTGGAAGTGATTTAAACTAGAGAAGCAGACGGGAAAAATTTTCCAATAAGCTAAAACACGGTTTTCCACAATCCAATTTCTTATTTATGAAATGTGCTCGGGACGTGAATACATATTTGTTATTATTGAGATTCTAAATTTAATAAATCTCTTATTTTGGGGACGGCTCTTCCGAATGAGAAACAAATGAAGCATAATCCGCTGACCCAGGATGCATGACGACAATTAAATTCTAAAAGGAAAGCCACTGACCCATAGAATTCTGCTTTGTACCATATCCATATCATTATTATTACTATTAATGAAAGGACCGGGGAGCATTATGACTAATCAGTGCTGTCTTCACAAAGTCAAAATTAGGCCCAGACACATCACTATTATATTCAAGACCCACCACCTTTTCCAAATTTGTTTGGTATTCCTAAGTACTAATAATTCCTGGCCCTCTCATAAACAATTCTCCTCCCAAGTCTTTTTCAGAATAAAATCTCCCCGTTGGCACAACTCAGGCATATCTTATATATACATTCTTCATTTCTTGATTCCTCTGTATTTTCACACCTCTTTTAAACGGCCGCAGAAAGCTTCAGATGAACAAAGCCAAAAGAATATATTTCTGAAAAAGAAAATCAAGGAAGAGAGAAAAGAGATAAAAGAAGGAATCTGTATGATTCGTCTCTAGGGGGAAGAAGAAGAAGAGGCTGAGAAGAGCATCTCTAATTTGACCCATAATTATAGGTATGCTCCGAACCGCAGTAGTGGCTACCATCATACTCATCATCATTGGAAATCTTATAGACCAACCACTTTAAGCATAAAGAATCCTAGTTTAGGGTCATAAAGAATAGGTAAAATCAAAAGTGAGCAATGGGCTCTCAACACATTAGCCTTTTTCTAGAGCTCATGCATGTGGTAGCATTGCTTTTAACTCTCCATCACTTGGATCTGTACTGTGTTATAATATTAATTAAGCTTATCAACCAAAGAAATTAAATATGCGCCTGTATGTATATATATATGTTGTGTACGCGGCATCTATATCTTTCTGCGATATCTTGAACAACTTTATATATTATTATCATAAGCTTCACTGGAAAAAGAAAAGCAAATTAAAGCTCTCTTTAGATATGAGTAATGATGACTTAGTCGGCGTCAAAATGGTTTGGTGCAAATGATCGATTCCTATAATCAATCAATAACCAAAATCATAATCCCATTTTCTGTATGATTCGTTCCCACTGACACAGGCATATGTCTGCTTGATTCTTCGAGGCAGCCCACTCCGCTCTTGTTCATATTATCTTCTTCCACTATATAAATTTATATTGATTGTTATTTGGAGAAGTGATCGGAGATCGGATGAATTATAAAAACAGACAATCATAACAGTCTATGAATCTGGTTGGAGTTCTGATTTTCTATTAATCATTAAAAGGCCGGCCCAATTTTTTAAATTTCAATAAATAAATACATATATAGTGTAATAAGGAATTATTATGAGCTATAATACAAGCACAGTTTTCATGTTTTTATTCCTAGATATGCTTCTTATATCTCTCAAACCATAATGGCCCAAATCCAGGAGACAAGTGTAATGAACATACCCTTGATAAAAGTAGTCAAAGTTGGAGCATAAATAAATCGAAAGAAAGAATTAGAACGGTGCTTGGACAGTATCCATCAGTATTGAAGAAAGCCAAATATCGAGGTAACGGAAGCTTTTAGATGATGAATGACTTTAGATAATTGATGATTCGTGTTCAGTTAATTGTTCCCCCACCAAAAGGAACTTGGTTTATTTACACGTATACATTTATACTCAAGTGAGTACTAGCATACTACCCCGTCTCTAATTATAAGAACATTTTGACTAAATTACGTTTTTTAAGAAAATAGTTAAAATTAATTAAAAGCAATTAATATGTAAAAAATGTAAGTTTTTTTTTATAAATACCCCTAATAAATGTAAGAGAGTAATAATGAGATAAATAGAGAGAAAATGTAATATATGAAATTTATTAGGGTAAAATAGATAACAATACATTAAATGTTCAGACAAACTCAAAAGGGACCTTATAAAAAGGACAAATCCATTCAAAAAAGAGGATCTTATAATTAGGGACAGAGGGAGTATAATCTTCAGAGACTTAAAACTGAATTAATGATAATCTCCATCATTGTGGAACCACTAATTAATTATTAATTGCTTTCTCTATAAGCTTGGATGTTATGTGAATCTAAAGTCCAAATCAAATTCGAAGCACCGACGATGAGCCCAGCGCACTGCCCATTCAAGAAATAAAGGCTTTGAAGGAGGAAGATGTGCGTAAGGGAAGTTATATTTTTTATTTGAGTATATATTCAGGATTTCATTAATTTTAGCAATAGCAGTTGAGCTATACTTGTCAAAGTCGGAATATTTGTCGTACACATAATTGAAATTAGTGGACACATCACAAATGCACAATTATGCTTGTGTCAATGACTGTCTGTAAATACGATTAGAATGACGAGACTTTTTTGTCTGTTTGACCACAATGAGACGAAGAACATGAGTACTATGTCATCATATGTACATTAGTACATGTCTGGGTCTGTGAATATCTATGAGGGGGGAAGAGAGAGAGAGAGCTTGAACATGGAAATCATACACAGCGAAAGATACAAGTCCTGGTCGTGTGGTGGCCAGTTCACAAGTGTAAGAGGACATAAAGAATTTCTTGTGGGGCTTTAAATAGGATAGGACCCCCCATCCTTCCCACCCCCCCACACACACACTTGCTGTTCTCTCGTTTGTCCTTTCTAATAACCTCACACTGCTAAATTTCACCCGTTCTTTTGCTTCTTTTCCACGTCTTTGGCGCAGAGTGATGAAGCTTGATGAGCTTGATAGATTCTGAAATTATGATTATATATTATTACTATTACATTCATTGATCAGAGGAACAACGATTTCAGAATGCCATGCTTACTTTTTACCTATCTCTCTCTCTCTGAGCCTCAAACAGTAGACTTATCTCATTGCACACTACTGCACCCTCCTTTCCCTTTCCCTTCTTGCTTATTAGCAACAAAATTATAAAATTGTATGTTCCAACTGTCAAAGTGTGCACTACTATAATATTATTATACCAGCTAAAAAGGACTTGACGTAGATGAGGGAGATATTCTGAGGGAAAGTTGATCAGGGATTAGATTTGATTCAACAAAAATTCGAAGAAAGAAAAAGCTGAGTCTTTTGGTGATCTCGAGGAAAGCACAGGGAGAGAAGAGAGAGAGAGAAGGTTGTGAATTGGAGGACTATGGACGTGATGACTCTCGCTGTAGCTATTATAAGAGCCTCTGCCAGGCCCTCGTGTCTCTTATCTTTCATATCCATATTGATATTCTTTGTGTGTATTTAAGAGAGGGAAAGAGGCGGAGAGAGGACGGTTCTGACTTCCTTTTTTTATTTTATGGGTGTAAGTTTTGTAACAGTGTCTGTGCTGAGATGGAGAAAAGAGACTGACAAAAGTGAACTCACAAACAGAACTCTCAAGCCCTGTGCCCATATGTTGATGACATTGCCAAGAGAGACATTAATGTTTTTATTAAATAAGAGAGAGAAAGATATATATCATCGAAGAAAATAAGGATGTAATTCCATCCGCCATCTATCAGGGTTTTTCTTTTTATTCTTGATGTTTGAATGATTTTTTTTTTTTGTAGGATGAAATGACGGCCAGCTTTATTCTGGGAGATGAAAGATTTCACCACATACTTTAGGGAACAAGAGGAGGTAATGCGGCTGAACTTGTAAGTTAGAAGACTGCTCTTTTCTTTCATCTGTGTTCTCTATTTTCTAATTCACGGGGGAAAAAAACCCTAACCCTTTATTTCTTTGTTTTTTCTCGGATCTCGAAACGGTATGTATTTGCTGCCACTTCTGGATTCTGATCTCACCAGGATCGGATCAGAATTTCGCCTGTCAAATTGAAAACTACCCAGGAAACCTCTTTCAAGACAAAACATGCAGTATGTAAATTAAGTCGTTTTCTTCTCGTTTCTTTAATTAATAATCAATGAAGCTAGCCGCACAAAGTTTTTCATTTTCATGGCCACAGCTAGCAATTTAAGGAGCCGGGTAAAACTATTTTCTCTTTATCCGTATGTGCATGCAAGTTGTCGTCGTCAATGTAGCTGCAGTCCATGAGAGAGTTGTGTTGTGACTTTCTGTTCATTGTCTCACTGTTTCACTGTATTTATCTGGGGCCAAGTGTTGCTGATAGTAACAGTTTCGAAGTGTTAGGGTGCTTCTCTTGGACAATTGGGGGGAAAATAAAATAAAACGAAAAAAGAAAAGCTGAAAACATAACCCTAAGTTTGAGCTACTACCACTGCTTTATGCATGGATCCAAAGAGGAAAGCGACTGTGGCTCACTATTTCAGATTCACATATATATATTTATTTATTTTTTAACAAAATTTTCAAACATGGTGGGGGTGGAGCTCAGCCTCAGCCTCAGCCTCACGGGGGAGACTCTGTGTTTGAAGCCAAGATATTCATCAACCACCTTTTTCTCAGTACATGATGAAAACTACAATTCAAAATGAGCTTCGATTGCATCAGAGACAAGTTCAGAAAAACACTGCTCGTTTTCCTTCTAGTTGTGTTCATCCAACACACTGTAGCTATAATAATTAACCAATGCGTACGTTTCCCAATAAATCTAGAGAGATATCACTAGCTATTAGATGATGCTGAGATATAGCAGTAAGACAGAGACTTTTATATGAGAAGTCTATAACTCTACATGAGACTACCTATACTGTGAACTTAAGCTTAATACTATATTATATCATTTTTCTGCGTCAGTGTTTGTTCTCTTGCTATCCATGCGTACTCTCAGTAAATTTGACCGACTTAAACTTTTGGTCATGCCTTTATTTTAGGGACACCTATATTGAACTAAGGCAACATAAAAAAAAAAAAAGTACAAACCTGTGGTTATAAATTAGCCTGAGAGAAATTGTGGTTAAAAAAGGTTAAAGAATGGTCCATAGCTACATAAACACACATATATGCAGGAGCAAAGTGGAAAACAATAAGAGAGAAGAATATATATAGGATAGAAAGTAGGAGTAAGGCGTCTAAGCCATAGACTTAGGCTTCAGAATCCTCTTTTTTAGATGAAGAAAATGTTATTACTTCATATTTATTATTCTGAAAGATCAACAATGACAGAATGTCAACTTCGGCGCATGCACATATTGCACATGCCTAGATAGTTGCACTGAAAAACAAAGAGGTCTAGCAGCCTTACATTAGTATGAATGTTTCCGACCAGACTTATTATTTAGGTCCTAAACCCACAGTCCTACTTAAAATTACTTCTGGCAATGAAGTTCCAACAAATACAATTCATCATCGTCTTGAACTTAGCCTTACACAATAAAAATTAAGAATTAAAAAGGAAATTAAACAGTAGACCGTCACGGTCGCCTAGATATAGCGTTATAGCTAGCAGAAAGGTCCAAGTAAGGCTACATGGCTAGAGACCAATTCATGACTAGTTCATCACTGCTTCACAAACTAGATATATATAATAGTAACACTTGCATCAGAATGCTGCAGGGAAGGCCATGCCTCAAAAGGGTAGAAATAAAAACCCTAGACGAGTTTTTTTTTTCCCTCTCTGCAAACTTAAAAATCTACAAATTACCTCCACCACCTCCTGCAGCTCCCTCATCGATGCCATCAGAAGCTGTATCAGCCCATGGAATAGTATACGGAAGAGAGTAATTATAAGAAGCAGGAAATTGCCTGTACAACCCACCACCTCCTCCCCCTAGTCCTCCTTCATTATTGCCGATCCTTCCATTAATATACTCCATAGTCGTCGACCTTGGCCGCTGAGGAAGTTGTTGAACTTGAAGTGATGAAGGTGTGATTCCTAAACCAGGTGGCACCATAGAGAGAGAATTAGCCGGAGGGATCTCGTTGCAGGCATAACGGAGAAGATCGGCATTTGCAGCATCGAGCTCCTTCTGAAGCCTCTGAACCTGTCTCTGAAGGAAGGAGATGGCTCCGACGCAACCATAAACTGGGTCTCTCACGCGCGCCTCTGCTTCGTAGGCGAGAGAGTTGACGGCGTCTTCTCTCTGGTGAGGAAGGAGCTCGTTGAGAAGCTTGGTGACGTTGCTGGCACCGAAGATTTTGTGCACGTGGGCGAATTTTTGAGGCTCCTCGGGTGGGAAGTAGGGCGCGAAGATGCAACCTGGCATGCATTTTCTTCTCAGGAATTTGCAGGCAGCGCAAGGAGATGAGTAAGAGCTTGATGATGCCATTTTTCTCTTCTCTCTCGATGGATCTCTGCAACAGAATAAATTAATGGCACATATAAAAACCGCATGAGAAGCTTTTTATTCTTAATTCCACGATCTCTATATGTCCAGTCTCTCTGGTAAGAAATAGTTTTACTTTTAATTATAAGGAAAGGTGAAACCAGTACAGCTAATGGGATCTGATGCTATATATATAGTATATACATATATATATCAGTTGCACCTTTGCACCTCTTTTTATCTATCCTTTGATTTCCGCCTATCTCATGTTTTCTGTGTGCTCTTTGATGTAGTCATCAACAGCAGGTGAAGTTCATGAGGTTGGTTGATATAGAAATTATCAGCTTACTTCTATAAAAATTAGAAACACCTGTCTCATGACATCAATTTTTGGATAATTGTATCATCGTTTACCTTACCTTTCCCTTCTAGACTCCATATATAAACCACTCTCTCTTTCTCCCTCTTACTTCGTCCTGTGAATTGTGAGGGGAAACAAGAAAAGAAGTGTTGTTTTTAAACTTCGAACTCCCAGACCCGGTGTTAATTCTGTAGATTTCTTTCGTTTAAATTTAGTTCCTGGGTTTGTCGTCTTCTCCTTTTATGAACGCAATTCTCTCTCCCCCTGACACTTGCTCTCAGCGAAGAAATGTTCGAGAACACTTCATATCGTTCTTCTGCTGGTAGAATTCAGCTGCATGATCAAGTAGAGAGTCAAAGAATTCCTCCTGAATATAAGGTGAATTAGGGATCTGGGCTGCTGGAACAATTGCCATTACATATATTTCATACAAGGCTGCATCAAAAGATGCATCGAGTGGGAAAGCCCTGAACAGTGACTTCTTAAAAGGATTTCAATATGTCTATGAATTGTTACTTTACTAAAAAAAACAAAACAAAACAAAAACAGAGAAAAAGAACTATAAACATAGAAAAAGAACAAGCAGTCTAGCTATTACATGAACATGAACTTACCTGTTTATGATATAGGTTTCTTTGATCAGATGAAGGAAAAGGGAACTACCTTTCCCTTGTGGGAGGTCCTTCGGAAGCTGCTTTTAATTTTCCTCCCCTCCAGACAAAGTCATAGCCTTAGCCAATGAGAGGTATATAATAGTCACAGATTTCTTATAGGAAGAGAGAGCACACCCTAGAGAGGAAACCCTAATTGGAGGAGAGAGACACGCACAGAGAGATAAAGAGAGAGAAAGAAAGGACGCTGATAATTTAGTAGTGGGAAAAAGTGACAGTAGAGAGAAGGCAGAGAGAGCAGTGAGTGAGTGGATGGAGAAGGAATGGATGCAAAAGACAAAGGTAATAAATGGAGGTACACTAAAAAAGAATGACTATGACCCTGCATCTAATAATAATATCTGGAATGTGAGCATGTTTCCCATTCTCATTCCCCCTCCATCTCATGCACTCACACTCCCTGTCAATTATCAAAACGCATTAGGTTCAATCAGTGTTTAATTATAGGGAACAATGTTTCCTTGGGATCACTGGTTAGGCACATAAAATTTGAAATCAGTCCACTATGAGACAGACTTTGCAAAATAATTTAGATAACATATATCAGAAAAAGAAAAAGCGCGTCGCATAACATGGGTAAGATCAAAGTGATCATTATTAGGACTCGGGCCTAAACATTTGGATGCCTAGGAGACGCTTAGAGGGATTGCTTTACTGTCTAGTTGTACCATGACATACAGATGAGACTCATAGGTACGGTCATATTTTGCTTCAGAGATAGTTGGACTTTTGTGTCTATATCAATTGACTGTCCGTCTTCTTGGACTCTAAACAATGATGTCAGAGTGAGTTAACATAATGCTTAATACTTGCTTTTTATTGCCCTGCATTGGGACGCGAAATCCATATTATTTAAGTTACATGCATGAATATGACAGAATAAAAGTGGAATGATCCTTAGAAAAAAAGAGAGAAGAGAAAGGAGAAAGAGTTTCTGATTACCCAAGATCTGAAAGATCTGCCGTAGTTATTGTATTCACAAAAACATCAGCATACTATGCGGTGAAATTTCGTGTACTTATTTGACCCACATTATTCAATAATTACGGAATTATGGTTCCTCATCACAAAAGGAGGGAGGGAGGGAGGGAGAGAGAGAGAGAGAGAGAATAAGAATAATGATTGTATTCATCCAGCGCCAACGATTGACTACATGAGGATATTGGCTTTAGCAATATACCTGCAGGTAGTTAATTTCCTTCCTTTATTAGTTTATTACCTTTCGGTTGTGCAGTCAAAAGGGGGAAATATATATTACTTCATATAATAAAATACTAACAAAAAAGAGAAAGAAGATGCATGATAGTGATTAGGAACGGGACATGTTTTGAAAATCCGGACAAAAGAAAATTACACCTTTCCTCGTACATATTTAACTAAATAAAGCATGTTTCGAGTCTGCACCACCGTCTGATTAACATTAAATCGTTAATCTGCCGAAATAAAGGGTTTTGACTATAGTTCATATCTCTATCAATCGCAGAGAAAAGTAGGATCAACCCATAATACAATCTACAGACAATAGAATTAATTATGGACATGTCTAGTACACATCAGTGTGATCGCTTGAACTTCATATTCAACTGGCTATGGCACATACTGTAACTTGCTGGTCGACACTTGAGAGAACAAGACCCTCAAGAATTAGGCCCTCCTGTCAATTTTAAGGCACAGTAGCTAGGCTCTAGTAAAGCCAGAAAATCTCTTTTGATATCTAAATGATATGAATCATTGGCTCATATATATATATGTGCTTGTGTGTGTGTGTGTATGAAATCTAATGGAGTTAGATTTAGAGCTCGAAAGGTCAAATTTTGTTGCTGCAGGCTACTCCTTTCCATATCATGTCTCTGCACACGCGCAGCATTTAAAGCTTTCTGTTGTGTGCCTATAAATGTTGGCTCCCTACATTTGTTTTCAGCTCCATCCACATCAAAGTCTCGGTAATTTAAAATCAAAAGTGATAGATGTATGTTTCCCGCGCGTTTTAAGTAATTTGTAGTAATGGGTAAAATCAAGCGGCTTTTCACATGGCAAAGTATCCTGTATCATAATTACGTACGTACAACTGTTTTACACATATGTTCATGTGGCCACGGCACGCATCATTTTTCTGAGCTGTACATTCATTGTTAAATACTCTGAAAAAGTATAGGAATACTGTTAAAGATACATAATCTTACCAGATAATTATGAAAAGCAAAGAAATAATATATTATAATAGCGAAAAGGAGATTTCTCTTATTTTACGCGTGATTAAATTTCGATAATTCTCATGAATATGCATATAGATGAAAAATCAAACTTGTTTTATCCAATTTATTCATTTGTTTGTGAGGGATATAGCCTTTACCACTTCGGTGACAAGGTGATAGCGCCACATGTTTTCCCATTAGCAGATTTCAATAGGTTCCCCTAGCTCCCTAGCTAGAGTAGCGATCACTCGTCACTTGACTTCTATATAGATATTAATTATAACATAATATCTTTGATGATCGGTTTAGGGGTAAAATCCAAAGGGAAAAGTGAAGAGGTTAGAAGGTTAATTATGCTGGTTAAGCAATTCCTATTGAATTAAATTATTGGTATATATAGATAATAGTAGAAAGTTTATTGCTTGGCCTTGAGTCTGGAACCGGTAGGAGTGCAGTATATAATGTGTGTGTGTGTGTGTGTAGGTTTAGTATCTTTGCTAAAAAAGCAGGGTTTAGTATCATATGCTCTTCCATGAGGAATTCAAGATTATTCCCATCGGTTCGCGTAAGAGTTGTTTAATCGAGTCATGGAAGAAGGGAAGCAAAGCATTTTTCATTTGGGATTTTCCTTTTCTCTAATTTCTTCTCCTCGCCAACTCCTTTCCCATGGCCTTCCCAAATTATCCCTACACTTAATGCGAAATTTATGTTACTCTATAGATATATATATATATATATGTATATTTATATAGTTGTTGTTAGGAGTATATTAACCGATCAACATGTTGCATTTAATTTGGATGATAAATTCTATAGGCGGCTTTTGATTTATCTTAAACAAGCACCAAGGAAAAAAGAAATTTGAAATTTACGGTAAGCCACACACACGCTCACTCTCATCTGAAGACTCATAACGTATTTCTATTTAATTAATATGTTATTACTAGAAAATATTTTTACAGAAAAATTAATTCTAACTTGGAAAGGAAGTGTGATTGTGTCAATGTAAATTAATGCAATAGTCTGCATAAACACCACTTGTGTTTAGGTCAGGTGGCTTTTTTTTTTTTTTGTGTTAGTTGCAAAACAAAACTTAAATATATGATGTTTTTCAGAGTCGGCATTAATGAACTTTGTTTATGTTATTAATTTCTCACAGAATGTGGTATAGCGTCTCCATTTCTTTATTAAGTAATGAATGCTTTGCTAATAATTAACATTATTATCTCATTGTTTGATGCTTACTTTTATCCAAACCCTATCGATAATTTGTAAAAGAAGAAGCATGTATCAAAAAAAAATTGTAAAAGAAGAAGCAACGTAACTGGAAGCAGTAAAAAAAAAAAAAAAGAGTATAGCAATTTGACAAACGAGATGCACGTACTAAACTAATGATAAAAGATTGGATATACATTACGTTTATTATTTGAAACATATGTTTCTCGAGTTGTCTATTTTGTTGAATTCTGTGCCCGATATTAATTTGAAACTCTCTTAACTTTCTCCAAAGAGAACACGAAAGAAGACAGTTGAAAGAGAGGGACCAGATTGATGAACACAATGAATATATATATATATGTATATAATACTCTATCTATATACGTATAAACTGAAGGCCTGGATCGGACATTATAGAAGATGAAAAAGAGAGAAAAGGGTGGAAGAAGACAGTGGTCCACAACTGTGGTAGCCGCACTTAGTCCTTATCACTTTCCCAATCCTTTCTTATCATCATTTTCTAGTCTTCCGTCTCCCCCATCCACAATTTCTTCACAGACCCCATCTCTCTTTCTCTCTCTCTCTCTCAACCTTCCCATTATTTCTCATTAGCCCTTTGATTTTGACACCACTCTCACTCTTCTGATACCCTTGTCCCTCCCTTTCCATTATTTCCCCACAAAACAAACACAGTATTATTACAGCCCCCACTACTCTCTATCCTCCATCTTCGATACTACGTCCACCATCCTAGCCTTTCTCATCTTATAACAGTAGTACATATCGCAAGAGAAACAGAAAAAATGATAATGCATGATGAGAATATAAATGGCTAGGTAATAATTCATATTATTTTTTCTTACATTGCAAGCGTGGATTACAGTATACATACAGTAGTATTGAAGATTCAACTTGAATTTTGCTGTAGCGAAAAAGGTTTGACGACAAAAAACGTAATCGATTTTAAGTGATTTGAGGAAGGTAATTGGGGAATGAGATTGTGCGACACGACGTGTCGTGGTAGCACTTTCTATATATTCCTGGGAAGGGAGAATGAATTTGAGACGTGAGAGGAAGTATTAGATGATGGGATGTAACAAAATAGAGAGAAATATAGGGCTTTTGATATTAGGGTACACGTGGGAAAGAGTCATCTTTATTTGTTGGAATAGTGAGATTCCTTTTCACTAACTTACCAAACCCTAACTATACAAACAGCTCTTGCACACATGTGACCTCATACGGAAATTCAACAGCAAACCTGTTCTATCTATGTTCATACGCCATACCCCTATTTTACTGCCTCTTATTGTTCCTATTTATACAGCTCTCCACTTAATAAAGAAAAACAGTCACTGTACTTTCTTTTTTGTAAAAAAAAAATGGTTGACATGAAACCAAACACCAAAAAAACATTCGACCTGGCTACTCTACATATAGTCTCTACCAAACACAAACCTCCCCACCTGCCACTGATGATCAGTACTTGCTTTCTTCATTTTTTTGGAGGGGTTTGGTTTTTAGTTCCTAATTATAACCATTTTCTTATTAAATACAAAGACGTCCCTACTTTGCTTGGTGAGTGTGCACTTTCCATGTTGGTATGTGATATGACTGCAGTAACTG